CGCATAAAGCAGGAATCGAGCCTATCCTCTCATGGATCGATTCCTGTACGCGATTCATGGATCCTGTACAAATTCTCATCTAAACAAACACATAATCACAATCAATCGCATTCTATCAATTCTTTTACCCAGATAAGCCATGGTCATGCACTCACCTCGGTTCGGATAGAAAAGGCTATGAAATCGACGAAGAACACGACTGATCAAATCTCCCAATCCGAATTCCCTCTTCCTCCACGAGGAACACGGATCAAACTCAAACTGCGAGCCTCACAAATCAGAATAACGAGCTATTTGAGACCAAGAACACATGAGATCAACAATGATTCCTATTCTCACTCAAACTTCTCAAAACTCAATCTTTTCTCTGATTTCTGCTGAAAAATGCGACTAAACACGTGGCTCAACCTTATATAGACAAAGCCTAGGGCTTTGTTAACCAACGTCGAAACCGAACAATCAAAAACCGAACCTGTCGGTTCAATTCTAATTTGTGTCGATCGACACACCAACCCTGTGTCGATCGACACACCAACCGAAATTGCGACTTCTCACCAGTCGAAATACTTTGGCGATCGATACACTGCGTCGATCGACATACAACCCAAAAATCACATTTTTGGTTCACGGGCGTTACACGTTGTAATTTGATAAGTTATTAGGAATATGACAGAACGAAAGACCATATATATACCACTATTATTGAGAAAACTCCACATTGAAACATGCTTAAATTTGAACAATCTTCTGAATACGTGTCCAACTAATAAATGATTTACAGTGATATATATGTTAGCTAGTAAGAACAAAACATGAGAAAACATTTCTAGTGATCTATAGTGTTAGTACAAACGTCTTCTTTTTTTTGTCAACGAAAAGTCTTTTAAAACTATCAAAGCAATGCACGTAGAGAGCAAGAATGGAGCCCATCAAGGCTGACGATCGGGACGTTATAAAATTCTTCACTGGCCACCAAAATAAAATTCGTATGTCGTAATAGTCCCAACATTCTCTCTACTCAATCTGTGAAGACAAACACTCTGACTCCTAACGAGGGTTTGAATTCAGATACTAAAAGGCATCATGGGCTGAGAGAGGAAGATAAGAAAAGGCCCATCAGGTCCACTAAAGTCTCAACGTTACCTGCTACTAACGGTAACAGAAACAGAACTAAGGAAGAGCACAAAAAGCATGTTCACAGTACGGATTCTACAGCCCATCAAATCCACATGAGCAACTCATTTGATGCTCTAGGATCTTGTGCAATTCATGAAACTGATCACTCTTTCATATGTCGTTCTTTTCTTTATATATTATCCTATGATGTAATCGATACGATTAAGTTGAATAATAACAAAAGTTCATTTTCTTCAAAAACTCTCTTTCAACCTTTTCTTAAAAACTTTCATGGTATCTGAGC